TGGCCTTGACCTTTATTTTAAAAATATATTAATATATCTTCTACAAATTTATATTCCAACTTAGAAAAAAAAAAAAACTTTGTAAAGATATTCAGAAACAAATAATTATTTTCACTCAAAATTCTAATTACAAATTAATAATTATAGGTAACTTCAATAGTACTTCAAATCCAAGACTTAATTGCTTTCCACCAAAAAAATTCTCTATACCTAAATTACAACTAATCAAATTTCTTCAATATCACCAATACAAAGATATCTATTGATTCTTTTTTCTTGAAACTCTAAAATTTATCTTCTAACAAGCAAATATTCAAAGCAAAATAGATTAATTCTAGACTAATCTATTAATTACAAATATTGAATATACTGATATTTTAATATAAATTAGACTACTTCCTAATAACTTTAGAAATCTCAATTATTACCAACAAACCCAAACCATGTAAACAGAAAAAAAAGAAATATTTTCTATCCCTTAAACTATCTAATGTACAAATTTGTATGCTAAAATGATTTTTGACCTGTTTTTATACATTTATTCTAAATTTATTTAATGATTTTTTTCTGTAAATCGCTTCTAACCACTATATTAAGATATCTAAATCACACAAAGTAATATATCAGGGTGAATTTTAAATTCAGATATGTATTTACATCTGATTTTTGGTAGGAATTGTAATATTTGATAATCGGAGTCTCAAATTTAGCAATGTTTCACAAATTTATGTGCGTTATTTTAGCTTAACGTTAAATTAAATACGATAACATTAACGCTAGTGTGTCAGTAGTATGATAATCTACGGTATTTTTATTGCCCGAATTAATCCGTTAAGCATTCGTCAATAATCAGAAGTTTCGTCAATCGTTAAGAGTTTTATCAATCTTCAGGAATTTCCTAGGATGAAGCTGGAAAATGTGTACGCACCAGTTGAGTAGCTAAGCAATATTGGCGCAATCTCACTAATACAAATTATTAAGAATTTATAACTTTAGTTGCCACAATAGCGGTGATATCAGATATAAGAGATTATAAATTTTAATATTATATAAAAACATTTAATACGCTAAACATTGCTATAAATTGAGTTTTATAAATCGTATTTCCTTGCTTGCTTATCTGTTACTCCACATTTATATGCAGAAACTTAAATCTCTTAATGCGCAGTAACTTCACAGTAACAGGAACTATATAGTTACGATTAAATTTAATAGTATATAATCATGTAGTTAATACGTCGTTACGCAGTTACTGCGTATTAAGATATTTAAGTTTCTTTAAATTTGTTAGTTTTCTTTATTGCGCAGGAAGCTGAACCCTAATTATTGTTCCATTTCGATACATTTTGTTTGAGAAAAATTTTGTTAAAATGGAAAATTTTGTATTTCAATTATTAACAACTATAAAGAATCGATCTGACTATTAACATTAACGTTAAAGCTGTAATGATTTAAATTAATCTACGTATATATACTTGTTTTAACGAGTTTAGTATTATTCGGAGAACTTATTCCTATTCAGCCACTATGGCGCACAATCTGGTACGTACTGTACGTGCATATTTTTCCGAATACACTTTGGGTCAAATATTTATGATTGTAAAAAAAAATTTTTTTTAGACACCATTATTCAGGTCAGCCCTAGTTTTTTTTTGCCTATAGGTTGGTACGATGTTGCACAAATACCGATTTTAATCAGCCTAAAAATGAAATTTTTAAAAAGGACAAATAAATTTTTGATTGTATAATAGATGAGGGCATTGTTTCTAAGTTACACAAAATTTAAAGTTGTACAATTACGATATCGCAAAGTAAAAAATTCGGGTCCATATCATTAATATTTCCCGAACAGTAAAATGTAGTATTGCGTCCGAAACCTATCATTAAATTTTCCATGAGCCTAACAATTTAAAATAAAAATAACTACAATGTCTTATTGCTCTAAGAATGGCAAATCCGATAAATAATAGACGATACCAAAAATTTATTGGGAACGGTACAGTATTTAAAAGAAAAATGTAAGTTATTTCAATAATGGTAATAATAATACATATTAACATCATGAACACTAATGATAAATTAGCATCTAAATATCCGGAAGAATCAGATATGAACTTAAATTTATTGGGAAAGGAAAATTCGCGCAAGTATATTCGAATACTTTCGAAGGAAAAAAGTATGCATTAAAAATGCTACCTCCTAATCAGAATTTTGATAGTGAGTCACTTAAAAAACTCACATGTGAGGTAATGTGTTATTTGTGCGTCGTTCATAGTATTTTAGTGGAAATTAATTAGTAATTATTCTCCATAGCTCGAAAGTCTCAAAAAATTTGACCATCATAATATAGTTAAATACCTTGGAATTACAAGAGGCATGATAGTTTTCATATTTGAATATTAAATCATACCATGCTGTTACAATACTCCATTTGTACTTTTGACATAATTTTAGATCTAAAAATGGATAGTTTTATAATTGTACAACAATATGCTGATGGCGGAAACCTACGAAATTATTTTGAGACAAAAATGAAACAGGAAAATGGACTTCATGAAATTTTGTGGACTGAACTTATCAAAATGGCGAAAGACATTTCCAATGGGCTAAAATATTTGCATGATCAAAATATTGTTCATCAGGACCTAGTAAGAAAGAATTATAATCGTTTATAAGTTCTGTAATTTATTAATAAAAATTTTCATCTTATCGGACTTGATAGTGGAGGATCAACCTGATCATAAAAGATTGGTCCAGTCATTTCGTATCACCACATTATTGTTGCATTGTTGTTATTCTCGCAGCAACACGTGTTGTCAAACGACTGAAATGGCGTGTTGTATTTCGATCATATACAATTTTATTGTCTGATAAAGTGAAAATTCATTAACGGACTTACAGATTTTTTTTAGTGTCACCCATATTTGTGTTAAATTTAGTAAGAAATTTATTTTACATATAATTTCCTAGCACTCTAGAAATATTCTAATTAATGACAGTAAGGCATTGATTGCAGACTTTGGGATTGCGAAAAGTTTAAATGGCATGAGTGATTCATCTGATCAAAGTGCACAAGGAATCGACATGATAGCATATATTGATCCATACTACATATTACAATCGAAAACAGAAGACATGGACATGAAATCTGACGTTTATAGCTTGGGTGTATTATTCTGGGAGCTCACGAGTGGTGTTCCTCCGTTTAATTGTTTAAAACCTGTAAAAATATTACAGCAAATATTGAACGATAAAAGTATAAGAGAAAGAACTGTAAAAAATACGCCTCCAGATTACGTTAATCTTTATGAGAAATGTTGATCTGATGACTGAGGCGAGCGTCCAACAGTGGATCAAGTTTTAGAAGACCTTGAGAAATTAAATTGTTATGTAAAAGGATCCGATAAATTCATTGTAAATGACAACAATCGTTGCCATCCATCCATTGAGTACAGAAAATTGTAGTAAGTCTATCTTAAAATAAACTGGTCAAATGAGTTATCATTTCGATGGAGACGCGAATACCTTTTTTTCATATAGTTATCCTGATTGGTTAAGCAATTAATCCTATCAGTTATTAGAACACAAAGTGTAGTTTTGTAAATGAAACTATGAGCTATCTGCGCTAATTATATAACATCTTATCAATAAGATTCAACATTTATAAAAATGTACTAATATTTTTTTGAAACTCTAGTAGATAAAGGAGAAATGTCTCAGATGCATTTCAAGCTATAAGGGTTTTTCTATTGATTGAGGAAACTATTAATAAATCTGAAGAAATTGAACTTTATGACTATAACGATTTTGAAAATATTGCGGAGGATAATTATAACTGGAAAAGTTGTAAAAAAAAAGTTACTCTAAATTATATAAATATTGATCCAAGAATAACTAAAGAGGGTTCTGGAATATATAAATGAGGTTTGAGTACAAAAATTATCGCAGTATAATGTTGCAATAAATATTATAGACAATATTAATTTATAGGTTGAAATAATGGCTCGTATCACGAGGCGTAATTGTTATCCATCTCATATCATCCAATTATATGGAATAGCCGGAGATAAAGATAATTACCACTATTATTTAATCCAAATGATGGTGATTTGCGAAAATTCCTAAAAAATAATTTTGATAATCATGGGTTGATAAGCTATATCTAGCATTCGAAATTACAACTGGACTCATGTATTTTCATCAAGATAACGTCGTTTATAAAGAAATTGTAAGAACCATATTTATTATAATTTATTGTTTAGTCGGTAAAAAAAAAAAATAAGCGGATTTTAATTGATCATTGATATGTATTTATATTGAAATAAAAAGTTACAACCATTTTCAAAAACTGGAATGACAATAACGACGTGGCCGTATGATAATACTAAATATTTATTTATAAAATATTTCCTAAATTTATCAATCTTTTTTCCTTCACATAGAACTACAAGAATATCTTAGTTCATGATGGAAAAGTAAAGATAACTATTTGCGGCATGCCTGAACAAACGGATATTGATACAAGTACCGTAACTTCTGCAGTTTCCACAAGCAATTTATTACCTGCTTACATGGATCCAAAATATCTAATGAATCATAGTTACGATCGTAATAAAAAATCCAATATCTATAGCCTTGGTGTTTTTTTATGGGAAATTAGTAGTGGTAAACCACCTTTTCAAGAACTTAAAGGAACTCAAATATTTACCTAAATCTACCAAGGAAAAAGGGAAGTCCCAGTGAAAGATATACCGGATGAATATATCTACGTTGCTGGGATGAAAATCCTGATAATCGACCAGATATCGAAGAAGTATTTAACATTCTTAGAGAAATGCTTATTGAGAAAAGGGAGCCGATTCAATTACCCAAAGCAACTTTGACTATGGAGAATAAATATTGTACAGGTAGTTAAGGAATTAGTTGTTATCAATACTAAACGATAATATTGCTTCTTAATGAAATCTAATTAAATCTTGAATTTCTCATATAAGCAGTTCAGCTTACAACTGATGAAACCCAAAAATATTTGATAAATAATACTTGGCATATTGATATGGTGTCTAGATGGATTTACAAAGCTTCAAGGACAAATTTAACTAAATTACTTAAACCATTTGAAAATCCAGATATAGCTAAAATTCCTAAATACGAATATAAGCTATTTATTAAAGGAAGTAGAGATGGATTTACAACAGATAAATTCCATGAAAAATGTGATGAACAAGGACCAACTTTAACTGTAATGAAAGTTAAAGGCACGAATGAGGTTTTAGGCGGATATAATCCACGCCGTTGGAGCTCACCAATGGATTCTAAGCAATTTCGTTCAAAAAAAAGTTTTATATTTAAATTGGATCCCATAAACCAGAAAGTTCTATCATTAGCAGAGCAGTGCATAATAAAGCACGTATTAAGTTAAGTTCTAATAGCGGGCCAAATTTTAAGGACTTTCGCATGATTGGTAACTTCAAAGATAAGTGTAGATGCAAATACACACATCGATATTATGAATTCACAATTAGTGAAGCAAAAGAATCAAATTACTTTTATTTTTCTGTAGACGAGTATGAAGTTTTTAAAGTTACTGAAAATAAAAATCTCACAAGTCATTCTATAAATTAGCATATTATTCTCAAAAAATGACTCATAATTATTGAGTTTTGACGTGTACAAATTCAATTAAAATTTATTTTATTATGAGTTTTATTTTATACAATTAAGTTTTGAAATCATGTAGATTAGTGCTGTGCAATAATGATAAAAATTTTTAAAAAATTAATCATAAAAATTTTGCTTAGAAAACTACTTTTAAAGCTCTAACAAATTTTTTTTTTGCAAAATTTTGTATAATTTTGTTTTTAATAAAATTTTATTTGTAAAAAATTGGTTTAATTTTATGTTATACCAATTATAATTAAAAGTAGTACTATAATATCATAGTGCTTTAATAATATTTTTTGGGATTATTTTTTATACCCCAAATTTATTATTCATACCCCTGCAGATTTTAAACTTTGAGCGAAGGTCCACCAGGCCAAACTTGACGAACTTTTTTTTTTTTTTTTGAGATCTATGAATTCATAGAATTTAAACAAAAAAAAATTCATCGAATTTGACTTGGTGGTTGCTGAGATATCTTGCTCAAAGTTTTAAAAAATCAAAATGCTTATCAAAACAAATTGTACTAAAATTTCTTTAAATTTGAACGAAGATATATCAGCAATCACTGTTGCATCTAAAGTAGCGATTTATCTAAAGTAGCCACTTTAGATATATAAAGTTGCGCCTGACTAAAATTAGGCCCCTGAAATTAGATCTTCATGCATGCACTAAATCGTAATTCTAGCCTAGGGCTACTTTAGATAGGGTGGCTACTTTAGATGCAACATCACTATGTAAATCTCGGTGAATAAGTTCTTGAGGATGAATAATTTGAAATCAGAAGCAATACACTTATTTTTCCATTCCCCATTTGTGCTACAGAGAAAAGATTACTACGCAAAGAACCCATGGGTGCATAATCCCTAACAAGAATATAATTTTTAAAATTATCATTTCCTGATATTCTAAAGCACCTTAAAAATGCTAAATCTTTATTCCCGATATCATTATACGCTTTAATTTTAGTATTAAAAATAATTGGTTAAATATATCAAAAAAATTTTATTACATTAGCATACAAATAAAATTACCTCTTTTACAAGTTCTTCACGATACACTTTTGTGTTATGAAG